GTAGGAGCAGAGGTGGGAGGAGGGGAGGTGTGGCAGGGGTGGAGCGGGGTAGAACGGGGGAGGGAAGACAGTCTTAACGAAGTAAGCGGGATTGATTGGAAGTGGAGAAGCGGCAAAGAGAGCATGGGGCATCGAGTATGGTGTATGGGTATTGGGGCATGGAGCAGGGAGAATGGGGCATGGGGCAAAGGGAGGGAGAGACATGGGGTAAAGGGCATGGGGATCGAGGCAACTGAGGGCAGGGCACGGGCGAAAAGGGAGGGAAAAAAGGGGGAGGAACGGTGGGACGGACAATAGAGGAAGGGAGGGAGGGTGAATGGGAAAAGCGCATGAAACGACATGGGGGAAAGGGAAAGGGGAGAGGCGACGAGGGAAGGGACGAGAGGGGGAGAGGGACGGGCCCGAAGGGAAGAGAGTGACGAGAGCGACGCGGGCGACGTCTCCCATTCCCTTTCCCCTCCCATTCCCACCCCTTCCCCCCAACATTGACAATGCCACATAGCCACGCAAACACGCCGTCATCACCTGCACCCTACGTCACGGGGAGGCACGCCAGTTGCAGTAGTGGTAGACTGAAGCGGTGTGAGAGGGAGGAGGTGTGAGAGAGGGTTGGGAGGAGTGGGAGAGGGAGGAAAGCAAGTGACAGGAATGATTAACAGGATTGATGTGGGTAGCAGACCGGAGTGAGTGAGGCAGGAGGGAAGAGAAGGCTCCTCAATCCCCCTCCCAATTGTTCCCGGAGAACGGACAGCCAGAAGGAAGGAGAGAAGATGAGAGGGAAAGGAAGGAGAGGGGATGTGCTAGGGAGAGGATGCGAGGCAAAGACAGAGAAGGGGAGGAGGGGGAAGGGAGGAGAGGAGAGGAGAGGGAAGGGAGGAGAGGGGAGATGGAAACATGAATGAGCATGTCGTGTGTGTCGTGTGTGAGTGACGGGGGAAGATGGGCAGAGGAGGAACCGGGGGGGGGGGGGGGCATAGGGGGAAGAGGGGGAGAGGAGCAGATATGAGCGGAAACACGGTAGTGAGAGAGGCGAGAGCGGGAAGGGAAGTAGGGGACATTGAGGCAAGGGAGGAGAGGAGAGGAGAGGGACAGGAGGAGAGGGACATGTGTTAGTGAGTCATGGGCTGCACGTGTGAGTGACATGTGCGAGCGACGTGCCTTGGTGACGGGAGTGAGAGCGCGACAGTCACTGAGAGAGCGACGGAAGTGAGAGCGCGTCGGAAGTGAGAGAGCGACAGGAGTGAGAGCGCGACGGTAGAGTAAGAGCGGAAAGAGTAGAGCACGACGGAAGTGAGAGAGCGACGGGAGAGAGAGAGCGACGGGAGTGAGAGAACAATGGGAGTGAGAGCGTGATGGAAGTGAGAGAGCGACAGGAGTGAGAGCGCGATGGAAGTGAGAGAGAGACGGGAGTGAGAGAGCGACGGGAGTGAGAGCACGTCGGGACTGAGAGCACGACGGGAGTGAGGGTGCGACGGGAGTGAGAGGGCGATGGAAGTGAGAGAGAGATTTTATAGTCTAGAGTCCGCTTAGGGGTCGCGGATGCCCATGAAACCGCCTAAGTAGAAACTGACGACTTCAAACCGCCTCTGTTCAAAACGCCGTCACGATCAGCTCCAAATACATACGAGGCTGAAACTTGGACAGCAGTTAGCCTTAGGTGTCTGCTTTCCAACGGTATCTGCTTGCTTTCATCAAAGGTGTATGTGCTACGCAGTGAACGAAAATGTAAGCTCGGCTGAAAACGTGTAGTTTCATTGATGCAAGGAAGAGGTGAGTACAACATTGCCTAGGGGACTCTTAAGGGGTTGGGTCATCCTGGGAACTCAGAGAAGGTTGATTCCTAGGGGAGAAAGGCTAGAGAAGGATGAGAAATGTCCTAACTAGGTCAGCAAAGCCAACCACACTTGGATGTTCAGAGCTGTACTCAAGGCTACCAATAGTGAGTCAAGCCAACCATGAGTCAGCTTGTCTTCCCACTTGCACCCTCTTGCAAGCTGCTTCCAGGAAGACCACACTTCTCAAAAGGAGGGTGGTAGAGTCCCACTTGACCACCTGTACTTCTTGTCTCATTCTCTGTCCCTGCACCATTGGCATGACAACAATGAAAGGGTGGCAAGGGAAATGCTGCCAACAGTGCACCATGACTACGAAACAGTGACTTTCGACAGCTGTCACGCGCTGCTGCGATTCTGGATCGTTCTGAAACTTGGTGACCACCTGCACAACGCGGCAAAAAAATGCCAGACCGATGTTCAGACCAATCAGAGCTCCGTAGACGAGTCAGCAGCCGATATAGTGAATTCAGGTGTTACCAAAAAAGAGTAACACACACTTCCGGGATGCCATAAGTCTTGAAACTTAAATGTTCTCATGCCTTGTTTACTGCTTCAAATTTTCTGAAACTTTGAGGGTCTTATGAAGACATGTTGAAGAACCTCCCTTAAAATTTCCAGAAGCTTAGCAGGTTTGTAGGCTGAATGGGAGTGCGAAGACCGTGCCACTAAAGTGTGTGGGTACAACAAACTCCCCCTCATCGTGCTCTCATTCACCCCTTAGCTGCTCCCTGAAGCTGCCTCCCTTAGTTGAAGGACATGCCACACAAGGTGGCACAGGTCCAATGCTGATGCTCTGCAAGCCGCTTGGTCAAGAAATCTGCAGGTTGCTTGGTAGTGTTGATGTAGTGCAAGGAGACCGTGCCCTTCTTCACCTCCTTCCTCACCCAATGCCATTTGATATGCATGTGCTTGTTCAGCCCATGGAGCACAGCATTGCGAGCCATTGCAATTGCTCCTTGGCTGTCACAAAACACAGGTGTAGGACCCTCCTGCCCCAACTCCTCAAGCAGCCTCCTCATCCAAACCACCTCCTTCACCCCATGAAACAACGCCATGTACTCGCTCTCCGTTGATGAGTGAGCTATCTCCCCTTGCCCCTTGCTTCTTAGACTTCCAGCTCACTGGACTCCCTCCAACACAGCATACATAGCCACCATGGGATGTTGCATCACTGATGTCACTTGCCCAGGTAGCATCGGTGAAGCACGAGAGGTACAAGTGTCCACGCCTTGCAGGTGCATCAGTCTTCGTGCTCACCTCCTCCACTCCCTTTTGCTTCAGCTGCCCATGCACTGAATATTGCAGCCCCACCCTTGAGGTTGCCATGCAGTACCACACGAGCCAGTTGCGAAACGGAGAACGCAATATCGGGGCGAGTGTTGACCGAAGCATACATCAAGCTCCCCACCATTGACTGGAACCGACGCTGCAACTCGGGCTCCAACACCTCACCCTCCTCTTCATCAAGGTGTAGCTGAAACTCTGAAGATAGAGGAGTCTTCACACTCCTCCCTTCCTCCAGCCCATACCTCTCCCCCATGGCTGCAAGGTACTTGTGTTGGTGAAGCCTCAACCATCCCTTCACCTCGTCCCGCTCCACGTGAAGACCAAGGTAATACCCCACTGGTCCAAGGGCCTTGCATTGAAAGGTCTCCTTCAGCTTCCCTTGCACCTCCTTGATCCTCTCCAGGGATGGAGAGAAGAGGAGAATGTCATCGACGTAGACAAAGAGAACCACCTTCTCCTCCTCCCCCTCGGTCATGAAGAGACTCTCGTCGCACCCGCTAACTTTGAAGCCAAGAGCCTCCAACGCCTCCACCAGCCTTGCATACCAGCACCTTGGAGCTTGTTTGAGGCCATAGATGGCCTTGTTGAGCCTGCAAACACGTCCGCTCCCATCGTCGTACCCCTCTGGCTGCTTCATGTAGATCTCCTCGTCTACTATGCCATAAAGGAACGCCGTCTTCACATCCATTTGATCCACCTTCCAACCACAAACGGCAGCAGCTGCTAGCAACACCCGGAGCGTAGGAGCCTTGGCAACAGGAGCAAACACCTCCTTAAAGTCAACCCCCTCCCTCTGCTGGAAGCCCTTGATCACAAGTCTTGTTTTGCGCCTCTCCAACTTCCCCTCCGCATCGGTCTTCACACGTAATATCCACGTGCAGTCCAATGTCTTTCTTCCTGGGGGCAGATTGGTGAGGGCCCACGTTCCATTCTCCATGTGGCTCTGGAACTCATCCTCCCTTGAAGCCAACCAAGCCTCTCGATCATCTCCAGCAAGTGCTTCCTCCATTGAAGCCGGTTCATGAGGTAAGTTGACACCGAAGCAACAAATCTGCTCCATCTCTCCCTCGGCTCCCTTCTCCTCATCATCTTCCTCCTCCTGGACCAGCAATGCCTTGGGACCCCCAAGTCTTTCATACTTGAGGAAATCCCTTGGGTGAGCAGCTCTCTTGGGCCTCTCCTTGGCTGCACCTTCCTTAGCTCCACCACAGGCAGCACCACGCTTCCCTTGGGTTGTCCGCCTTGGTGGAAGTGTAGGGGATGGTGTAGGCTGCTGCACCTCCTCCTCGGCATCACCTCTCTCAGCTACAGGGGCCTCCTCTTGCTGCAACACTCCCTCTACCTCTGCTGCCTCCCCTTCAGCACCTCCCAAGTCATGTGACACCTCCGTTACCTCTGAAGATGAAGACAACTCGATGGGAATGAGAAGTGGGTCGTTCGTTCCCACCTCTATTCCGAGCGGAATGGTGACCTTGCTCCTCCCTCGCTCCAACCACTCCTTGAACATGAGCCCCTCCATGAACTTGGCGTCTCTGGTGATGAAAATGGTGTTGGTTTTTGGGTCCCACATCAGCCACCCCTTGCTCCCTTGTGCAAGTCCCAAATGAACAGCCCACACCACCGCCACTTGAAGCTTGTCACGCTTCTCGTTAGGGACGAGCTCCACCGGGTCACTCGATTTCCCCTCCACCGAATGGAAGGGAAACCGTGAAAACTTGCTGGTCAAGCAAGTCTCACAAGATCCCACCTCCTTGGGCTCCCCCTTTATCCTCAGCCCCTTGACTCTTTCCTCCTTGAACAGCTGCTGCAACTGAGGTAGCGCCACGTGGCCAAAGCGACGGTGTGCGGTGAGCCAATCCGTCTCACCCGTGCTAGGAGTTACACTTGGTAGCGCAGCCCCTTCATGCCCAAGGAGCCATCACCGTCATCACCATCTCCTCCATTGTCCACGTGGTTAACATGCCCTCCTCTCACATCTCCAGCAGCCAAGCGCGCAGCCGCCTCCTTCCATGGCAGAACGGGTATCTCCCACATGGACCGGTGCATGTCCTTGCCGCCTCGGAGGTCCCACAACACGCGCCCATCCAGAGTTGCCTTGAAAACCTTTGTGCCCAACATCTCCATCTTCATCCCTGCCTCACTTAGGGCCTTGGTAGAGAGGAGGTTGGCACACAATCCAGGAACAAGGAGAACACGCTTCAGCCCCACAAGCCTCCCATCCGCACCCATGAACATGGCTCTCCCCTCGCCACGCACGGGTACAACTTGGCCGGTGGCTGAAACGACGGTGGCTGCCTTTGATGGCCTGACTTCATCCAGTAGATCCTCTCGGTTGGTCATGGTCATGAAGGCTCCCGTGTCGATGACCCAATGGGAGGAGCGGTGAAGAGCAACCTTGCTGGCCGACACAACCGTGTCCTCGGAGTATGCCTCTCCTACATGGTAGAACATGCCGCCGTATCCGCCAGCACCTCCATCGCCCTCCTCACTGCCCATGCCTTCTCCCATAGCTCCATGAACACCATTGTAGCCCTCAAGTGATGGCTGACCAGGCCTCCAACCGTCAGGTAGCTTGCGGCACTTGAACCATGGGTGACCTTCCACATGGCAATACCAACACTTGCCGCCACACCGCTTGCCTCCCTTGTTGCCACGCTTCCCTCCCGAATGCTGCTCCCCTTTAGAGCCTTCCTTTGCCTTGCCTTTCTTGCTTCCACGCCCCTTGAAGCCCTTCATGCCATAGGCAGAACCTCCACCTTCACCGGCAGCGGCGGTCAGCTCCTTCCTCCGAAACTCCTCTTGAAGAACTTGCGCGCGAATCCACTCAAGGGACCACGAGTCCTTCATGCCATTGAGGTTGACCACCAAGGGCCCCCACGACTCCGGCAGCAGGGAGAGAACCTTGTTGCAGTTGATCTTCTCAGGGTAGTTAACACCAGCAGCAGAGAGCTTCACATAGAGGTCCCGGAGTTGATCGAACGCTCCTTGTACGGCATCACCCTCGTTGATCTTCACCGCATGGAGTTGTCGCTCGAGCACCACCACCATTGCTTCGCTGCTGGGGGCATGGACATCCTTCAATATCTTCCATGCCTTAGGACCACACTCAACTTCCTTGATGAGATGCTTGATGTGGTGCAGCTGGTTGGATGAGAGGCATTGGGAGAGAAGGAAGAATCCATCCTTGGACCGGCGATCCCATTCCTTGGTCGCTCCTTCGCTCGCAGGCCTCTTCAATTCTCCATCCATCACTTCAAGCAGCCCATAATGGTTGAAGAGGAGCTCCATCCTGAAGCTCCATGATGCCCAATCCTCCCCAGAGAACTTCTCCAGGTTGAATGCCTTCACATCATCCTTAGCTGATGTTGAAACGGAAGCCACTGGTGAAGATCCGCCTGCAACGCCTCTTCCCGCTTCCCCAGCGCCTCTCACGCCACCACTGCCACTGGGACCAGCTGGAGCAGAACCTTCAGCCTCCATATTCCCCCGCGAACAGAGTAAAACAGCTCTGATGCCACTTGTTATAGTCTAGAGTCCACTTAGGGGTCGCGGATGCCCATGAAACCGCCTAAGCAGAATCTGACGACTTCAAACCGCCTCTGTTCAAAACGCCGTCACGATCAGCTCCGGTAACATTCGAGGCTGAAACTTGAGCAGACGTTAGCTTTAGGGTTCTGCTTTCCAACGGTATGCTGCTTGCTTTCATCAAAGGTGTATGTGCTACGCAGTGAACGAAAAAATAAGCTCGGCTGAAAACGAGTAGTTTCATTGATGCAAGGAAGAGGTGAGTACAACATTGCCTAGGGGACTCTTAAGGGGTTGGGGTCATCCTGGGAACTCAGAGAAGGTTGAGTCCTAGGGGAGAAAGGCTAGAGAAGGATGAGAAACGTCCTAGCTAGGTCAGCAAAGCCAACCACACTTGGATGTTCAGAGCTGTACTCAAGGCTACCAATAGTGAGTCAAGCCAACCATGAGTCAGCTTGTCTTCCCACTTGCACCCTCTTGCAAGCTGCTTCCAGGAAGACCACACTTCTCAAAAGGAGGGTGGTAGAGTCCCACTTGACCACCTGTACTTCTTGTCTCATTCTCTGTCCCTGCACCATTGGCATGACAACAATGAAAGGGTGGCAAGGGAAATGCTGCCAACAGTGCACCATGACTACGAAACAGTGACTTTCGACAGCTGTCACGCGCTGCTGCGATGTTGGATCGTTCTGAAACTTGGTGACCACCTGCACAACGCGGCAAAGGACTGCCAGACCAATGTTCAGACCAACCAGAGCTCCGTAGACGAGTCAGCAGCCGAAATAGTGAACTCGGGTGTTACCAAAAAAGAGTAACACACACTTCCGGGATGCCATAAGTCTTGAAACTTAAAATGTTGTCATGCCTTGTTAACTGCTTCAAAAAAACAGAAACTTTGAGGGTCTGATGAAGACATGTTGAAGAACCTCCCCTCAAAATTCCAGAAGCTGAGCAGGCTTGTAGGCTGAATGGGAGTGCGATGACCGTGCCACTAAAGTGTGTGGGCACAACAAGACCGGCATTGAGTGCGGGCTGGGATAACCTTCAGTGGCGACGAGTGATTCTCACGGTGGCGATCAATCCAAGGGTCCTGCTGGCTACCAGGTCGGAATTGTTTTGCGCGAAAGAGTCGCCAGGAAGTTCCGTCTCTATGTGCTACTAAAGTCTTAGCATAGGGCAGCGAGATGGGCGTAACTATGCTTGCTACTGACGAGAATAAGGGCTATGGAGCCTACTATGCTATGAGTCCAGAACGGTATTCTTGAGTTTCAAGTTCTGAAAGTGTTAACAGTGATACTTGTCCTTGTTTGTTTCTGGCGAGGCTCGTCCGTGTTTTTACTGTGTGGCATTTGGCCAATTGCCTTCTGGCCCACCAACTCCCTTCCCGGTGGGTCTCGAGAGATCAGCTTTCTGAACCTGGTTACCCTGTTCTTAAATTTGAACCCTTGCCATTATAGACTCAGGCTTTAAGATGAGGTGAGGTGAAGCGAAGTGAGGTGCGGGTCTCACAGGTGCTGGATGCGAATGAGCGTTGGGAGGGTAGCACGAGAGCCTTCACACGATGTTGAACAGGTTCCTGTGCATGCACACAAGGGAGTAAATTAATGAGGAAACCCTAAAAAAACAACGAACACAAGGAAGAGCTTTGAGACGTCATAAGCCTTGCTTTCTTATTTCATTCCGCGCATTGAAATGTGGAGGAGCATAGGAAGGAGAGACAAAGGAGAGAAGATTGAAGACGGGCAATCGAATAGCACGGACGAGAGTGGAAAAGGGCGCAATTAGACGCTGTGTCACGCCGAGGTGAAAGGGCGCGGCGAGAGAGGAGCAGCGTGAGGTGCGGCTGGCAGTACCGGGCGGCTAAGCAAGCGACGACAAAGCTGGCGGACGAGCGAGAACATAAAAAAACGTTACGGCGCTATCGCTTCAAGAAAAGCGGTGACAGTGGTGCATCTTATTTTACGCAAATTGCACATCAGCGTTCGCGGTGGTCTAGTTGCTATATTTGTGCTTTCCTAATACAGCGACGGCTACGAAGTCTTCCAAAATGAAACAACAAGAATCAAGAAAATAATAAATCCCGTGTGAGTTTGCTCGACTGAAATAGGTCGAAGAGATTAGATTCACTGCCTGGTTCAGAAGTGCAGACCCAAGATCAGTGCACAGGGATGCACTCTCATGTGCCATAAGATTTGAACATGCTACGTTCTAACATCGGTTATCGCGCAGCATGTGATGGTTCTGCAAGGCTGGACGAATTCGCGATGTAACCAGTTGCACTTGACATAAAGGTTCGTGTTTTGACGTCGCGGAAGGCTACACCCGAGAAATGCCAATTTTGTCGGTGAAAAATATAGAGCACGCGTTGTGATGTCACTGTACACCAGCCCCGACCAGACCTTAGGTTTGGCATGTCAGGTTTGGTTCAGTACACAACCTACCGTGCCTAAATGTTGTTGCTACGACTCTAGGTGAGAATATGTCCAAATGAACGAATTTTTCTTCACTATTGCATTGAGAGCTAATTTAACAATAAAATAGTCTGTCTCTAACCTGCTAAACGCTAGTTCTTTTCTACTGAGGATTGCTCCCTTTGTCGTATCGGAAACCCAACCTTCGTAGCATAGCTCCCTGCATGATAGGACATAGTTCACACATAGCTCATGTAGGATACATAAAAGAGTGCTACTTTTGTGGGCATGTTTTGGGGTCCATGAATTTTGTGACGGAATACGAAGATCTCTCGGATCTGTCAAAACGCAGGTCCAACGGCTCGTTGATGAAGTACCTTCTGAAGTGGTCCTGGGATAAGTAATGAGGTACCATCCACTCGGCTTCAGAGCTCTGCGTCCAGCCTGAAGCCTGATTTTAAGAGCGTATTCGTACGGCCTCATATCAGGCCACCTCGTATCAAGTTTGTACTTTTCGCCTGGTAAAACTAGCAAGAGGTTTTGGGTTTAGGGAATTTTCAGTGTGAGCTTGATATGAGGTTCGCTTGATACGGGGTGTAGGAATACGCTCTAAGATCTTTGAAGTGAGAAGTCACATCAGCCCAAAGTTGGGAGATGATCGAGCCGGGGAAGGGCCAAGGGCCGTTGTCCGATCATGCGTGGGACATTTGGAAGGGTGAAACCAAGCCTGACGGGAACTAGAGAAGAACATTTTGAAGGCAACAGAATGGAATTGAGCGCCTGAATGGGAGGTGTACTTTCCGAAACGAATCGTTGACAGGTTCTAGTTCGGTTGGGTGTCTTGTGACACCGGCGGGGAATGGGTCTAGCTGTGCTATAGTTGAAGAGCTGTGTTATAATACAGATCTAGGGCCTTGTTCTGTAGGTACCTCGGTTAAATTTTCACACCGTTAAATTTTAACCGAACTCACCCTTCGGCGTTGTTTCACTCTCTTGCCAAGGAAGGAAATCACATAGAAGCGTGTTACCCCGTTCAAACCTCGTTGCTTGAATGCCGTTCTTTAGGACAACCGTTCAAGAATTGTTAGAGACTAAGGACGGAGTCTAGAAGGATTAGGGGCCGAAATATCACAAAATCGTTGGACCTAATCTCTGGAAGAACAGAAGACTCGACTTAACAAGAAACGT